TACTGCCTTTACCCTGGTGTCCATGAGCTTCCAATTCAAACTTGGAATGCTGCTTCTGCACCATTTTAACTTTTCTAACAAAGACATCATGAAGATGATATTAAGAGTTGGACAGGCCTTTTCTTTGCCATTTCCAACGCTGTTCAGAATCACTTTACTGACCACTTCTTTCCAGTCATTTGTCTGCATCCCTCTGGTCACGATTTCCATCAGCTTCTCCCAGATCTGGCAGACTTGTTGGTGATGAGCATATGAGGCCTTCTATATCTGACTGTTGCATTTGTAAATAAAAACAACACAGAGCAGATGAAGCAAATAACCATCATAGTCTTGCAGCAACATGAGCTTCAATCATAGCTTGCCATTTTTTGACTATGGAGTGTACATTTTGTCCCTAGCCAGTTCCAGGCCATGGAAGTTAGGCAGTTTTTGCCATAAACACCCTTAATAATTAGCTTAAATTTTTTAAATGCAGCTTCATCATTCTGCCGATCGGCAAGGCTCACTTCAAACACAAAACCCTTGAAGAAGTCAGATACAGTTTTGGTCCCTTGAATCCTTGTGACAGGTGTTTTTCCAATCTTTCTTATGTTGAACATAGCTGGCATTTTTGTGTTACACTAATCTTTCTCAGCAAATGCATTGAGGACATTCATCTTAGCTCCCTTTTTGCTGCCTCTTACAAAGCACCTGTCCTTACCAACCTCAGTGGTGCTGCTCAGAGATTTTAAAAGATGGGAAATACAACTCTCATTCTCAAGAATTTAGGCCGGCGAGGCCAGTGTATAAGAGATGCAAGTGTAAATAGCATGGCAGAGCAGGTCTCACTAAAAATGTGATATTTAATAAAGTGAGAGCTTTGAGCCAAGAAACAGTGTAGTTTGACTTATTTTTGAGCATTACCAATCTGGATGTTGGAAATAGACTGAAAGAGGCAAGAGAATATCAGGGAAACTAAAGCAATCCAAGTGAGAGATGATAGAAGTGAAATAGTGTTCTGATGCTGTGAACTTGATGGTTTAAAACAGCATCTGTTTACTCCTTTACAGTACTGGAAGCTGGATGTATGCAATAGGTTTCACTGGACCAAAACCTAGTGTTAGCAGAGCTCTACCTTCTCCAGAAGCTCTGGGGGAGAATCTGCTTGCTTGACTTTTCTAACTTTGTAGAGCTGCATTTCTTGTATTCTTCTACTGATGGTCCCTTCCTTCATCCTCAAGGCCAGCAATGCAGCATTTTCAAATCACTCTCCGCTCCATCTTTACATCATCTTCTCTCCTCTGTGTCAAACTTCTCTCTGCCTCCCTCTTCTAAGGACACTTGTTATTGTATTAGGGCCTGCTCAGATCACCAGGACAATCTCAAGATCCTCAGTCACATCTGCAACGTCTTCTGGCATATGGGACCAGTCACAAGTTGTAGGGTTTTGGCCCTGGGTATCTTTGAAGGCCATTATCCAGCCTACTAGAGGAAACTTCACTAGGGTAAAAGTGGGAAATGACCAGAGCCTTATACTGTTTTGAAGATAAGTAAATTGGATTACATGATGGGCTGAATGTAGGATGTGAGAAAAAAAAGAAAGCAAGGAAAATGCCAAAGCTTTTGCTTTGAGCCATTATAAGAAATTAAAAAAAAAAAAAAGACTATAGAAAAGAGCATGTTTTTTCAGGGATGGTTGTCGTCTGTCTATGTTATCAGGTCTAGAGCCTCATAAACATAACTAAATTTGAGATGTCCTCTCCAGTAGGCATATTAAGAAGACAGCTGATACATGAGTTCAAGAAATAAGTCTATGCTGGAAATACTGATTTGAAAGCCTTTAGTGCATCTTTAAAGTTTTGAAATGGAATGAAATCATTAAAGGTGTGACTGTAAATAGAAAAGAGATCCAAGGATTGAGGTCTGGCAGAGTTCAGTGATTCAAGGTCAGAGAGAAGAGGAGGAATCAGCATAGAGAGACAGAAAAAGAAGCAGCCACAGATGTAGGAGGACAAACCTGAGAGGGTGCCAACTGGGGCCTTGGTGAAGAGAGAGAAATGGGAGTGGGTGGAGAACTAAGCTCCAGAGCAACACAGACACCAGTTGGACTGAGGACACACTTCACCAACACTATACCTAGCACCTCTCCACACCCACACAACCTCCAGCATGAAAATGAAACCGCTGCCCCAGTGTCTGGCCAGAGGCACAGAGAGGGTCTTCTGTCTCTGGCTTGAAGCATTGCAGAGATGCTGCTGGAGCTGCTCAAGGCCCCTGTTTCCCTCACCCAATTAGTGATTCCCAGGATAAGCCTGTCATCTGTGTGTAGAAAAGAAAAATATCTTGGGCAGCAGCTCCCCGTCTGCCTGCGACACTGAGCAGCCTGGCACGGCTACTGATTGTCACATCAATGTGTGGAGAGCAGCAGCTGCACTGATGTCACCCACAGGGCAATGCCCCTGTGAAGGCGGACTGCTGTTCTGAGCCACATACTGTGCAAACATTCACATTAAATAGTCCCTTATTACACGCATTGTATACAAAACATCCATCACGCTCTCCGAATCAACTGGAAGGCTGATTCTACACTTTGCAATCTACTCCAAATTATGTTGAAACATCTACATAACCAGGCAGTTTAGGAATCTTCATTTACACCTGCTTAAATGGATTCTGTTTTCTCTTCTCCCTTTCTCCACTCCTTCCCTCCTTCCTTCTCTTTTCTACCTCTTTCTCTGCCATTCCAGTTTCTTCAGTTTTAATTCAGACCACTGGCTCTCAAACTTAATTGCACATTGGAATCGTATGGAGAATTTTTAAAACTATTGATGTCTGGATCCCATTCCGAAAGATTCTGGTTTAATTGACCTTGGGTGTGAGGTAGGCTTTGCGATTGCTTTTTAAGCTCCTCAGCTCGTGTGTAGACATGTTTGAGAATCAGTTACTGAGTAACTGCTTACATGGCTCCACTTTTATTATACACAACACTGGGGTTCACAACAATGGCCTGAAGTCCTCGCCTGTAATTTCCATAGTTTCATATCTCCCATAAGACTTGGAACCTCCACATTCTCCCTGGAAAAGACTTTCATAACCATGCTTCTAATCTCTGACTACACCAGAAAAAATGATGTGAGCAGGCCTTGGGAGGAGGAGGAAGAGATGGAATGGTGGATAGTGAGTATGAATCCCAGTGCAATATTAAAAGCTATGGCAAGAAGCACCTATTCTCTGCCTTCCCTAACATTCCTAGTTTATAGAACAAAAGACTTGGTGCCAATTTACCTGGCCTGAACACCTCCAATAGACGCAGGACATTGCATAGTTCTCTTTATCTTCCAGATGGCATGATGCAATGCGGACTCTGATACTTTTTTTTTTTTTTTGGTACCGGGGATCAAACTCAGGTCCTTGCACTTGCGCAGCAGGTGGCGAAACCACTGAGCTAAATCCCGGGCCCTGGGACTCTGATACTTTACGCTTTGCTTTTAATTTCTCTCCACAACTTCCTCCTAGAGCACTCAAGGCCTTATCTCAGCAACTGTAGTTCCGGTTTATTTCTAGGTTTAGCTGTAAGTGACAGGAAAAGCTGGTAAAAGTGAATGGAAATATCCAAGGATTCACACACACACTGTAAAGCAGGCTTAGAAAAAGGATCCTGAATACTTTCTAATAGAGAATGACCCACTGTACTCCATTTTGTGGCACTTGTTTGGAGAATTGTGAGGAAAAATCTAGGTTCCTTGCTTGCAAAGCAGACCTTGCTCAATAAGCTCATTACTTGGAAGCAACCTATTTTTCCTTCCCTTCCCCCATCTGAGACCCAAAATTGGAAAGATCTAAACAGAAACATGTTCAGGCTAGATCCAAGTCTATCAAATGCCAATACTTCTACGCTCCTTGAAAATAAAAATTGGCTCCAAGTTCCAGAAAGCAATTTGGTAATATGTCTTAAGAGTTTAAAATATGTTCATATCATATCCTTTTACCCAGTTATTTTACATTTTATCCTAAGGAAATAACTAGAGATGTGATAAAAGATTTATATATAAAGATCTTCATCAAAGTGTTTATGCACAATTGCAAAAGATCAGAAGGAACTGTATGCTTTCCATCATACTGGATTGGTTTACTATGCTACGGAATACTGTGCTACAGCAGACCATAAAATATACAGATTTTTTAAACTTTTGTTTTCAAATAATTTTTTATGATGTGAGCAAATGTACATAATATAATGCTACATGAAAAAGTGCAGGTAAAAAATTACTCCTTTTATACTTTAATCCTGTTGTGGACATATAAACCTACTAGTAGAGAGGTAGACACTGGTCAGAAATATGCTACAATGTTAACAATGGTGACTTGAATGGTGTGGTTGTGATTTATTTCCGTTTTCTCCTGGATTTTCCAAGCTCATATTGCACCTATCATCAGAAAAATAAAGTAAAAATTTTATTTTTTTTAATGAAAAGGACATGTCATTTCTCACTGAAGCACTGAGCTTCTACTGGAAGCCAATCTCAGAAGTAACTCCCGTAATAATCACCATCATCTGTCACTGCCTGTGCACAGTGATGATTCCAAGCACTGCTGCACTCATGGCTGCCCTTGTGTCCCACAGCAGCTTTCATGTGGGTGAGCCTGGGGAACGTGTCAGTCCTCTCATGAGTCCAAGAGAAGACTGAGGCATGTTTGGGGCATAATGGGATCTGTTTCACCTATGACGGTGTCTGCTGGGTAAGGACTATGTTGGCCATGTTGCTCTGTAGCCTTGTGAACTCAATAGCAGTCTTGGGAATCAGAGGTCTTGCCCAGACATGTAAGAGTACATTTATTCACTTAGTCTAGAAGTACTTACTCGGCATCTTCTGTGTGCCAGGCAAGATTCTCACTCATTCTATTAATACTATTAGTGCCTGTTACTTAAAGTTGCTGACTGATGGAGCTGAGATGGGTTTCACAGAAGGCTTCTCTCTCTCTCTCTCTCTCTCTCTCTCTCTCTCTCTCTCTGTCTGTAGATGGAGGTGATTGTTGGGGACTTTGGGATTGTGGTGGTGCCCCGGGATGCAGCTGATACAGACCGAATAATGAATCACTCCTCAATACTCCGCAAATACAAAGTGAGTCTTACTTCAGTCTCCCTGCTTGTGTATATCTCTGTGAGGGGGCTCTTCTCTGAGAGTCCTAAAAGGGCTGGAGGAGTGAGGGAGCAAAAGGTATTTAATGAGAGGGGCTGGCAACCTACTTTCTCTCCTCTGTTTCCAGAACAACATCATGGTAGTGAAGGATGACATCAACCATCCCATGTCTGTGGTCAGTTCAACCAAGAGCAGGTATGTTTGACAGATGGCCAGAGAAACTGGTCACACTGGCTTACCAGTTTTCATGTCGCTTTCCTGAGCCGAAGGCTTAGAGGACATGTCAAGAGGACACTTGCTGACCCGGCATTCAGCCTCCTGTTTGGACTCATTTATTTGTCCCCAGCCATTTAACTTTAAAAGAGAAACTGTGCATTAGCTATTCTTAGCTACTTTGAGGGGGAAGAGGATGTTTCTAGTTGTAAATTTTTAATTTGAGATCCTATAAAACAATGTATTTGTAGAGATATAGGCCAAACTGCCTAACAAAAAGATCCCAGTTTTTATAAGGTAAGTTTAGTTCTTCCTACAAAAGTCCAAAGGAAATGAATCTCTGGTCTCTTCAATGTGAAGCTTCCATCTCTGCCTCCACAGCGGCTGCCATGACTGTTCTCAGCCATTGGGAAGGTAAAGCCTGAGGCAAGAAGCTTTGTCTTTGAGAGTTGCACATGTCACTTCCCTTTGCATTCCAGTGGCCCAGGGATGAAGGAAGCCTGGGAAATAGGATTTATTGCTTGGCAGCCATCTGTCTGGATAAAACAGGAGGCTGTATTACTAAACCAAAGAAAGACAAGATGATTACCAGGAGCCAGTTAACAGCCTCCACCACAAACTCCAAGTGGAAATGTTCAGTGGTATGGCGAAATATATAGAATAGGGAGGTTTGGAAATATAGAACTGAGGAGCGTGAATGTGTTATTCCCAGTGTGGATGAGCTCACAGAAAGTGCCAAGAAGAGAGGAAGATAAAGCATCTAAAAAGAACACTGCAAGCATATTAGCATTTTAAGAAGGCTGAGGAGTAGTCAGAACCCCTAGCAATGAGAGCCCAGAAACTAAGGCAGAAGCGGGTCCAAAGATAGAGAGTGTTGTCATCTGTGTCACGTATCAAAGAAATCAAGTGAACCCATGACTTAGAAAAAGTCTACTGGACTTCGTCCCTGAAAGACAATTATGTAGACACTTACAAGAGTAGAAGCAACTGGGAGATGAGGGCAAAAGCCCAGGGACAATGGAAAATGAGTGGACAGGGAGGAGAAGATTGTGGTTCCAGATATAGCAGCACATTAGATTCATCTTGTTACGCACTGGTACAAATTTCTGTGTCCCGTTCAGCTCCACTGAATCAGAATTTTCTGGGGTTGGGCTTAGGAATCTGCTTCTCAGATGAGTTTGAGGAAGTTGGCATTGGCATTTTGGAACCACCTAGATACATTTCTGAAGTACTTTATGTGCAAGATGATCCTTGGGACCTACCTTATAAGGTCAGGACAGTGTATGTGTTGAAAGTGAATCTGTCTCCAGGGAGATCTCACAGGGTAGGGCTCAGATGCCTTTTAGAATCTAGATATCTGGAGGACTATATGAATTTTCACAAATAGCTCCTTAGAGTCTAGCATTCCCAAGACTATCATATAAGTAGAGACGAAAAGCAGCCAGAGACACACTGAAGAAAAATTGTGCAGAAATCAAAGTTCCCTGGGTCCTTCATACCTGTCAGTGCCTTTCCTCTTTGGGCTTCCAGCCCAGAGCTCCTGTAGGAAAGAAAAGATGTGGTCAAATATAGGAATCCCCTGGGAGACTGATTTCATGACAGCAGCATACAGAGAAACACAAGAGATAAATAAATATACCTTAAATATACACACAGAAAAGTTTTTTTAATAGGTAATACATTAAAATGCCTTCTGTGTGCTTATCAACATTCTAAGTGCTTTGCATAATGGCTCTTTTAATCCTCTTAATAGCTGCTGGAACTGGCTTAAATATCATCTTCATTTTAGAGAGGAGAAAACTAAAGAACAGTGGGAGTTAAAATAACTTGCCAAAGGTCTCTCAGCTAGGAAGTGGCAGAGTCAGGATGTCACCGGGCTGGGGGAGGGTTTGTGGAGGTAAGAGGGCAATTTCTAATATTGACACTGTTTACTTGATCTAAGCAAAGGCTGGTGATGGGGTATTGAGCAGATACCTGACAGAGTGCAGGCCAGGGCTCCCGTCTTACTTCAGCTTTAGGCATGTTTGTCTGTCTGATTGACATCTCTTGTCTTGCAGGCTGGCTCTGCAGCATGGGGATGGCCATGTCGTGGATTACCTATCCCAGCCAGTCATCGACTACATCCTCAAGAGCCAGCTGTACATCAATGCCTCTGGCTAGTAGCCGCTCAGCTTTGCTCCACTCTTCCCTTGTCCTCTGCCAACACACTGGCCCCTCCAATCTGTCCGTTGCCCCAGTCTCTCTCCTGCCTCTCTGTTTCTCCATCTCCTCGTCTTGACTGTTCTCTCCACTGCTGACTTAACCCCCCACAGTGTGGGGGACCTGCAAAGAAACATGGAATTCCCTATTCTACAGTCATCTTTGGACAAACTTTCCTCTAGTCTCTGGGTTGGGGGTGGGTGAGGGAATGGGGTGGGAGCTGGGGGAAGTGCAGTCCTTGGAGATGTACTGGTATCCATTTCCCAGCATGCTCTAGAGAGGCGGCTCTGGTGCCCATCCTCCCAGCATGCTCTGTGGAGGCGGCTCTGGCTCTCGCCTTCCCAGCATGCCCTTTACCACAAAGGGCTATTTTTCTTTTTATTTCTTTATTCATTTATTTTTTCCTTTTTCACTTCTTGTAGAACTTGGATGAAATCAGTGTATGGTTCTTTATGTTTGTTGTAGACCTAATGCACTCCTGTGGTATGACTTCCCTTCCGATAGGACACTATAGCCAGCCTCAGCACTCAGGAAGTGCATGAGGGCCATGCCCAGCAGGAAAGGGTGAGCCACCTCCTCTTCTCCAACACACACCTACAACCCCCCCACACCCCACTCCCCACCCCTGCACACACACAGCAGCAGCAGCAGCAGCAACAGCAGCAGGAGCAGCAGCAACTCCTTTGGTCAGGAGTCAGCTTTCCAGGTTCCAAATCTGCAAATGAATGCTGGTATAGTAGGGCTTCTCAGAATTGGAGTTAATTCCCTTAGTTTCAGAAGACCAGTATCGAGATGCCTTGGAGATATAATCACACAGAGCCAGTCGTACTCAGTACATTGACCTACATGGGCTGTGGCTAGTGTCACCATGTGGGTTTCACATGTCAGCCCAGATCCTCAGCCTGTGGAAACCATGCTTAGACATGTTCCTGAATCTGAGAAGAATTACATAGGCAAAGCCAAATCCTGATAATCCAGTTTTTTTCTTTAAAAAAAATGCTAGGAATTCACTCAACCCTAGAGATCTTCACTAATTAGAATTATTTATTGCCCATTTGGCTGGGAATTGTCTCTGTTGTAATGGAATTCCAAGATGATCTAGGAGAAATTTGTTCCCCTGATAAGAACTGATGTTTCTCAGCCACTCCAGCAGAGGTTACCTAGGTCATGTTGAGGTCCATTCTTTCTTGAGAGGCAGTGCCTTGGCCTTCTGGGCCTGGTCACATCTCCTACACAGCCCATCAACTGCAAGCCCAAGGAGACCTGCCTGACTCTGGAATGGGTTGAAAAGAGAGAGATCATGAAGGCACCAGGAGCCACTAAGCTGTTTTACTCCACTTCTCCTTAATTCCCTCCTTCCTCTCTGACCCTAGAGAAACTTTTAACAGATTGTGTTCTGGATGTTAAGGCCTCCCTCATGTCCTCCTTAGGAAGCTAAAAGGAAATAACTCTCTTGTGCTTTGTATCGCTCATCCAGTCTCTGGCTGTTGGGTTTCTGGTTGTCCTCGAGGAAAGGTCCACAAGTATTATGGTATTTTTATCCAAATCTGGTATGAACTGTGGCCCAGGTGGGACTTGAAGCCAGGGACAACATTTATTGCCACACATTTCACATCTTCAGCATTCTTCAGTTATCTCCAGGAAAAGGAAGTGGATTAAACAGAAGAACATGGTAAAGGAGCAGGGTGTTGTGTTTCTTGGATTATAAAAATAGTCTTCAGAGAAAGGAAGGAAAATCCTATTTTGGGGACTCAGTGTTGGCTAGGAATCATGGAATAATGAACAGGAAAAAAACCCTTTGGAGCTCAGTTGCTCCAACACTCTCCTTTAAAGGTGAGGGAGCAGAAATTCATGGAATTAAATTGCTGATCTCAGTCCACACATCAAGTGTAGAGCCTGGTGAGAGAGTACCATTTCTCTGAAACAGAAAAAAATAGGGAGCTGCATTTTCTAGAGGTAAAAAGGTGTTCTCGGAGTTTATGGACAAAGTTTATGAGGTTCTGAGGGAGCAGACCTGGAAAAGACTATAGATTTCTTCTGTTCCTTTGGTCCACTCTATTACTCTGCTGGACTCCAGTCAAGCCCCACTTAGTCCACAGAGCCCGGGAGGACCTGAGCTGACTCTGTGCCCTCAGTGTGGGGGAGGGAAGGAATGTGGGAGTTGAGAGGGAGAGTGAACTGAGCTAAGGAGAGCAGGGGCAAGAGAAGTAGATTTTTAGAAATGAAATGGGGCAGATCGTATGTTGGTATATCACAGGGGTTGTGTTAAAAAATAGCTTTCCTTTAGTTACAGAGAAGTGAATCCCATTTCAAGTAGAACTCCCATTTCTCACTGTCCTCCATTCTGCCTTTGCTAGAAGAAGATCAGAGCACCTCTCTGAGTCCAGGGTAGGACACGGACTGTGACCCAGCCACAGCCAATGCCAGAAAGATGGTTCAGAGTTTTATGTGGTGCCCCAGGTGCCAACAAGAGAGCCTGTAAGTATGACTTCCCTCTGGGGTCCCGCTTCTTCGGTCAAAGGCCAAACCAAGACTGGTATGGCTGAGAAAAGGTGAGAAAACATGAACTAGAATGATCATGTCAAGAGAGGTCTGGAACCTCATTTCCTGCTACCAATAGAAAAAGGCCTTTCCCATTTTTCTGAAAGTGGCTGATGTAAAAACAGCCAGGAGGAAAACCCTTTGTGTTGGTGACTCTCACCTCCAGGAATGGCCTTCAGGAGTCGCTGTTCTGCTAGCAGGTACCTCAGTCACACACACCCCACCCACCCCAGGTAGCCTCTGGGCCTTCTGACTTTCATTTTCCTTGAATGACCATGGGATCAGGGAAGAAAGTCTCTTACTGAAGTGCCTGAAACCAGAGCTAGAGCTTTTAGAGACGTGGGTCTTCCTGTCTCAGCCTGGGTAGCCTTTCCCCAACAGGCTCTAGTCTCAAGCTCCAGCTTCTCAGAAAGAATTAAAGAACTTGCTGTTCAAATTAAGTTGAAAGTAAGACTCAATAGTCAAGCTACAGCAAAAGGCAGAGAATTACAGGGAGAAACTTTTACTACAGCCCAAATCTACTCTCCCCAAACTGATACATACACACACTTTTAGGGGACAAAAGAGAGAACCATATTATTATGTATATTTTATTCATCAAAAGAATAATGCAAAAATAAAACAGTAGAGTATGAAAAGCTCAGGATCTCTCCCAAGAATACAGCAGGGGTGCCAACAGGTGAGATGGGAAGGATGGAAACAGGGACTGATTTTGTAGCTCATACACTTAGGGCACCTTAGAAGTAGCATCATGGTGATGATGATGAATATGCTCTGCCAAATTCACCCAGCCTGCACCTTCCTATAGCTGCCCAGTAAGCTCAACTCTTCATGTGGTTTCTTTGTAGTGTAAATTTGGAGTGTCCTGTAGTCTGTTTGAGTTAATTAGAAATGAGTTACAACTCTTTCTGTCCAACTTCAGTCGAGTTCCTGGGCCCAGAGCTCAACTTGAGGCTCGGTGGCCTCTTGGGTTGGCATGTGAAGGAGGAAACATTTTTGGAATCATTTTTTGATCATATTATCTGCCATTTAAAAGTAAAATTTGTGTTATGGAGTCAATTCATGAATAAAAACTACATTCGAGTTGCAATACCATTTCACAGTGAAATATTTTGAGTAAAATTTTGTTGCTAGAATAGTCATGGACAAGAGTTTTATCAGCAAAATGTTTCAATTATGTTAATAAATAAGACAATGCCACTAGAGTCTTGTGTCTCTGATCCTTCTCTGTGAGTTCCTCTGAGAAGTAATTACTTTTGTTCATAGTTTTACTTGACAGGAGACAACAGGTGTAAAAATGTACTTAGGAGATTTTCTGCCTGGTTCAGCTGATGCCACATGTGTAAAATAAAAACATATATAACCACACCCAAGAACTACAATGGAAAAAATAATTAGTAAATTTTGAATAGTACTTAAGTGTTTTCAGTTTATAAATATTAAATCTTAGATCCAGACTAGCCCACACCATCTGGCCTTGGTTAACTTTGAGTCTTTACTGAAATTAGCACTTTATTAAATAAAATTATATTTGTTAAAATTAACAGCCTACATAACTTTTTAGTATGGAAGATTTTAACTAAGAAAGAAATTATTAAACTCACAATTTGTTTTGCCATATAAATGAGCAAAAATTAATGACTTGTTAACTGTTCAATCCTGCTGTAATTATTAGTTCTTATTTCATCTTTAGTTATAACATACATCCTGCATTGGTTTAGGTCTAGACAGTGATTGTCATTAGCTAATCATTAGTCAAGATTCAAAAAATGAAACAGCACTTACCTGTTAGGCCAGCTCATTGAAAGGTAAGATAGTTGTAGTGTTACATACTTGTTTATTGGAATAGGTTTTGGGTTTTTTGTTTTGTTTCTTAATCATTTTGGTTCTTAGGATTACTAGGATTTTTTTCCTTAAAATTAAATTAGCCAGCTGTCTTAGTTACTTTTTTTGTTACTGAGACAAAATACCCAACACCCAAAGTTAAAGGAATTAAGGTTATTTATCTCAGTTTGTAGAGGCTTCAGTCCATAATCAGCTGGCTCCAAGGCAGGGTGGCATGGCAAACAGGCATTGCAGAGGAGAAACAGTTTATGGTGGGCAGATGGTAGCAAAGCAAGCAAGGGATAAGACAAGCCTCTTTCTGTCCCTTATATTATACCCAGGCTACCAGGATTAGGGTGGTGCCAAACCAATTAGCGGACTGATTTAGTAATCACACACCTTTAATCCCAGCATTGCACCATGAATCTATCACATACTCTAGATCCAGTCACATCTGAAAAAGCCTAACCTATGACTATATAAGGATCTGGGGGGATATCTAAGCACAAGCATAACATTCTGCCCCTGGTCTCTCAAAGACTCATGCACATTCCTTTATGCAAAAAGCCTTTAGTCCATCTCCAAGAGTTGCCAAAGTTCTATCAGTTTCAGCATTGCTAGAAGGTTCAAGTCCAAAATCTCCTCTGAGATTTAAGGCAAACTCTAGCTTCAAGCCCCTATACAAATTAAAAGGAACTTAAACACTTCCCAAATTCAATGGCACAACATAGACATTTCCATTCCAAAAGGTACAAAGGGAGGGGATAGAAAGAAATTGGAACACAGCAAGTTCAAAATCCATCAGGGCAAACATTAATTCCTGTAGTTCCATGTCCAGCATCTGAGGAAATCTGGCAAGATGTGAACTCCAAAGGGCTTGGATTGCTCTGCCCCCATGACACTGCTGGTGGTTGTAGCTTCCACAACTTCTCTCTTGGGCTGGTGCCACTCTTTCCTTGCAGTTTTCTCAGATGATCCACGTTCCTGGCTTCTCCAAACTTCTGGGGTCTCCACTGCACCACTCACAGCTTCACACACTGCCCTCTCAGAGCACACTGCCTGGCCTCCCAGGCTGCCTTCTGAAATCTGGGTGGAAGCCTTCCTGACCCCACAACTCATGTATTCTGCATGTGCCTAAAACTAATACCACGTGGATGATGCCAAGGTCTGCTGCCAGCTGCAGCTGTAGCCAAGCTTCCATCTGTCTTGCTATAGGGGTCCAGTGCCTATGAACCAAATCCTGAGGAACAACTTCCCCAGGCCACCACCATTCTGGAACATGGTACTTTGGGGCTCCCTTCTCAAAGAAAAGTCTTTCACTTTTGCAATTTTGAGGCTGCAAAGGCTGGAGTCCCACTATTTTGTGTCATGTCCTTGGGCCATATTTTCTATTCTCCTGTTCCTTCTCAGCAATCAAGATCTCCTCTGCTCTATCTTTGCAGACCACAGCTTTGCTGGTGCTTCCTTTCTGGTCAAATGCACAATGTTTTAATAATTCTGCTGGCCTCTTTGCTCTTGATTCTAAACATAGATCTGGCTAGGAGCAGCCAAGCCACAGCCTCAACATTAGACTGCTTTGAAATTTTTTCTACAAGATTAATTATTCTGCTGCCCTTAATTTTAGTCTCAGGCAAAGTCTCTGGACATGAGCAAAATGCAGACAAACTTTCTGCTAAGGGATAACATGCATTGTCTGGAGTCCAACAGCCAATGCAGGCCTTCTTCCCAGCAGACACCTCCCAAGCCTGGTCTTCACTGGCAGGATTTCTATCAACCTTCTGGTCTTCTGAGCTCTGACCAGAATCTCCTATCTAGTATAGCCTAAGGTGTTCCAGCTCTACTTTTTCAGCCAGTATCTCCAAACCTTTCCTAACTCTTTCCTTTCCCATAAGCCAGTTCCAAAGTTTCCCAAGTCACATGTTCAGGTACAGTCACATCCATGACCCTACTTCTCTCGTCCCAAATTCTGTTTTAGTTACTTTTTTTGTTACTGAGACAAAATATCCAACACCCAAAGTTAAAGGAAGAAAGGTTTATTTATCTCACAGTTTATAGAGGTTTTAGTCCATAATCAGCTGGCTCCAAGGCAGAGTGGCATGGCAGACAGATATTGCAGAGGAGAAATAGTTCATGATGGGCAGAAGGTAGCAAAGCAAGCAAGGGATAAGACAAGCCTCTTTCTTTCCTTTATATTGTATCCAAGCTACCAGGATTAAAGTGGTGCCAAACCAATCAGCAGACTGATTTAGTAATCACCCACCCTTAATCCTAGCACCTTTGATCCTAGCATTGCACCATGAATCAATCACATACTCTAGATTCAGCCACCTCTGAAAAAGCTCCACCTATGACTGCACGAGGCTTTGGGGAGACATGTAAACACAAGCTATAACACCAGCTTTGTGTGCATCCTTGTGAGTTTTGTGGCACATCATAATAATGTTTGATATACCTTGCAAATTTATTACTTGAGTTTGTATTGCTATTTTGTTCACAAAGCTAAACACTACTTTTTCCTGTCCCAAGAGTGCATAATAATGAAAGTATGTTTAAAATTGAATATAAACACTGGCTTAAATTGCTAACTTATACTAACATAAAAATATATATACTAAATATGAATTAATATTCACAAACACACAGATCTTGGGATTTCCTAAGAAGTTCCACATGGCCAGTAGTATAAAGTAAAAAAAAAAATAAATCTATTCTATGTTTTCCAAGTGGGAAAATCAAACCACAGCAAGAATCCATAACATTCCCATGACCATACAAAACATTAAAAGAAGACATGATAAACATATTCCTGGTCTTTGAGACTTGTCCCAAACACTGGACAGTACTTAGTATCTTCTTACCCTTTTTTCTAGCCTCCAAAGAGTACTAGAAAGAAACCACATCCTGGGATAAAATGAAAAATAAAGCTGCTAACAAGTTATGGTCTATGGGCAGTTTCATTTCTATCCTTCTCTTATCTACTGTGAGTTAAAGAAGATGATGATATGTATAATAGCATGCCAACAGTACAAATAATCAGAAAACTCTGAGAGGAGAAATATGAGAGCATTGTCATATAAATTAAATAGGAACCAGAAACCAAAAGGAAAGCCCCTTAATTTAGTTAGGTCAGGTTGAGACTGACAACCAGAAGTTAGGGCTTCAGTAAGCTACTTCTAAGCCATATCATCTTCCTTTTTTTAAGGGTTAATTTCTCAAGTCCTTACCAAAGTACCAATGGCCATTTTCCATCCTCCCCTCTCAACTCAGGGTTCATGTTCTATCTGTCAAGAAGTACATTCTTATGATTTTCTTTTCAATCCATCCCACTGAGGAATCCTTTTATAATTTTATGTACCCTGGTTCTTAGCTAATAAGATCCCTCACCAGGTTCCCTCTAATATGTACTGTCTAACCCTATGCTTAGCAGAGATAGCCAATCACCAACAACCCACGTTCCCTTTTCACAGTGAAGAATTCTCTCTGAGCAATGGCTTTCCACCAAGGGACTTTGTGATAAAGATGAGTTCCAGACCCTTTTCAAGTTAAGTGTGTCATAATAATGGGTTTTGAAAAAATGGGATATGAGGCCTCCCAGGCCTGGCCACAAAGACCATATCCATGCCTCCATATCCATGTTCTTTTCCCTTCCACCCAGCTGGACGGTGACAACTCCTCTCTCCCACCTAATGTAACCTTAGAAAGCACATGTTATAAATGGCAGGGCCTGTGAAATAACTATGTGAGGGCCACCCTGACAGCCTGCTCTCCACCCACTCTATTATGGAACAAAGAAATATTAGTCTGTGTGCTTAGCTTTTAGGGTCTTTGTTACATAGAAGTTACTTTAATTAATGCACATACATTTTTCTGGACATTAGATAATTACAACAGGAAATTTAAAGGATGTATGGTTTAATGTGCCCAGACAGAGTTATAAAGTTACTTCTATAAAAAGGACAAAGTGATCAGATCTATCAGAATTTTGGGAGTCTGTGTGGAAAGGAGCAGAGAATCCTTTCCTCGGTCTCTTGGGTAGATGGTCAGTTCAAGATCTTACTTTATTTAATTTTAGCTTATTAAAAGTATGACCTATGCACAACAAACCATTGATTTTACCTTTATTTTATATGGTGAAAGAATATTAATTATACTTCTAAGAATATTAATTATACTCTCAACTCACCTTGGGTTGTTCTAGAAATAAATATTCTTTATGCTTAAGATACAGCATCAGCTAAAATTTCAAGGTGCTCTCAATGGATGGAAAGGGCAAAATAAGATACCCAGAAACATGAATTGAAGATGCTAACTCTAAGGTGTCTGTCTGTCTGTCTCTCTCTTTCTCTTCCTTCTCTCTCTTTTCAATGCTGAGAATGGAACCCAAGACTTCATACAAAGTAGGCAAGTGTACTATCTCTGAGTTACATCTCCAGCCCATTCTAGGACCCACTGACATTCTGGCATGTTTTCATTTTCATTGTTTTTATAACTTTAATCTTAGAGTTGAATAAAAATCACCAGCTGACCCTAGCATCTAACAATTGTTCTTTATTTAAAAACATGTCCATAAAAAGCCAAGGAAATAAAGTGAGGCAAGAAGAAAGTTCTGAGCTAAGGTGAAAGTAAGTGCCTCTGGTTCCTTCAGCAATTCCCACTGGTTACCATGACTCAACAGTCTGCTGCAATCCATTGTGGCAAGGGCAGAGGGACGGCTGGAATGCAGAGAAGTGTGCAAAATCCAGAGCTATCTCAGCTTTCTCCTGACTCAAGTGCCCTCATGGGAATGTCTTGCAACACATGTTCTGTTGAGAAAAGAGGTTGCAAACCAAGGGGTAATTGGAATAAATATCACTTATGGTGAACAAAACTTGTTAAGTTTACATTTATTATATTTTTAATGTTTGTCTTCCTCACCAAACAGTCAACTACATAAGGGGAAATATGTCACTTCTGTACTGCCTGCCCTGGCACACAATACAGACTCAATAAATATATGTTGGAAATATGGATGGAAGGATGGATTCTACCTAGCTCAAGTGTGACTAAGGACATTTTCTGCTACAGGAAGAGAGGATAAGATATAATTTTCAATGTTTTAAAAGTGGGATTGAATTAGGACTAACGAATCTTTTTGATAATTTCACCTTTTTCAATGCCCAAGTGACATTTTTCCCTATCACTTTGAAACCCAAAAGTAAATACCTTTCCAGTGTTTGATTTGATTTGATGGTAAAAAAAAAAAAAAAAATGCTTTAACAAAAATACTGTCTCCAGGATGCCATGCCATCATTATGAGAAAGGATGTCACTCCCAGGCCTGAAGTATGAATGTGGCCATCACCAGCTGGCACCACTACTCCCAATGGACCTGGCCATATTTCCCGGCCCTCAGTCCATCCCTGCTCACTTCTGCTAGCTTGCAAGTGGAGCACATGCTTATGTACTGGGTAGTGAGTGGGAGGAACTCTGGTCATAAAGAACCCTACAGTGGACAACAGGAAGCAACAAGATTTTACTGGCCACATTGTAATTGGACGTCACTCTGTTCTGACATTAGGAAGAATTTTTAATGCCTGGGAGAAGTAAAACATGTTTCCTTTAGTCACATTACTCAAAGAATAAGATGACTATGACCCAGCATCACTTGTCCAGGTTCCAGAACTCTGTTTCTGACTGTTCTGGGGCAAATGTCTGTCTGTGCAGTTTTTCCTTCCAACCAGTCTGCTCTGGGTGCCCAGGTCCTCCATCAGTCTCACGCCCAGGGTCATCTGCCTCATTGCTCAGCAGAAGCAGGAAGCAAACATTACCAAACTGGTGCAATAAGACATCCCGGGGGCCACGGTGGTGGGGTCAGGCTCAGCTGACCTGAACACATCCATCAAACATGTTCTAATGTCCCCATCCCACCCCACCCAAATGCGATGGCTCCCTTAGCCCTGAAGTCTGGATCCCAAGAACCTCAGTTCAGCTTCACTGCTGCTCCAGAGTCTGTGTATTATAGCAGCCCGGGGGGAGGTTGTCCCTGATGTTCTCCAGGTTCTTCACATCAGCCAGAATCCCATCTATGCTCATCTCCAGGAAGTGGAGGTGGCCCCTCTGTCGACGTGCCCTCTCCTCCAGCTCTGACATCAAGGGCCGCAGCTGGCTGTTAATCCGGGTCTTAGTTTGGAAAAGCTCCTGCTCCAGTAAGGCCAGTCTCTCTTCATCCACACTGCCAGGCTGGTCTATTTTATTAGGGAATGAGGAATGCATTGACATAGAAAAACTGTGGTTAGGTCTTGTGGAACATATGTGTGCCCTTCTATACTATTAACAAATTCCTGTTTTCACCTACCCCAAGCAAATATATGCCATACACTTTAAAGACTTATTTTTTATTAGTTCATGTTTGCAGTACATGATTACGTTTATTATGGGAAATTGGTACATGTACATAAAGACTTATTTTAAATTATAAATAATTTAGGAAAAGTTCAGAGAGCACTAGCCTTGTTACTGGGCTGTGAACAACTCAGTTCAAGACTCTGAGATTCATAGTTCAGCAGTATGACGTGTGGAGTTCATTTTTCAGGTTAGGGCCAATAGATCATGCTCTGAAAAGATGAAGGCTGAAGGTCATAGGGGACTGAGCACTCCTCAAAGTGTCTGCCTAACACAGCTCACTCCTGTAATCAGAATCAACTCCAAATATGCTCACTGCATCTCCCTTAGGAAATAGCTTGCTGTTTTCTATTAGAAGGTCTCTAGAAACTGGCTGAGCTTCGGTGTTTACAGAGGCCAAGGTACGCTTCGCTATTTGGGGGATGGATTACAGCTGTTAGAAAATGATGTAAGACTTAATTTTGGACCGAAACAGTGGGAATCTGGCTAGGTACCAGTTTATTTCTAGTGTGAAGTGTAATCACATTTGTTCAGGTATGTTGTACCATAAACAATTATAAAGCCAATGTTAGCATGAAGGGCATTTGGCCAGACCCATTTAGTTCAATTAAGTTTGAATTGCCCTTGGTCAGCTCACACTGAAGGTCACATATCTGAGCTGTGGAGACTGTATTTGAGTGTTTGAGTTTGTTATACCTAGAGCAATTAATCAGTTATTTTTCCAGGCCTCAAGAGAGCACACAGAGTACAAACAATATCATAACAAAAATGCTGAGCCAATGGACCTGCCCTTCGCCTGGGGACAGGGGAGAATTCAAGAATTTAAGGTTCTATGACATGCAGAGATACTTAAGTAAGATTGGAAACAAAATAACCAAGTCCATGAGGAGGCAGCTTGAGCTACTAAAAAAGAACAGTAACGTTGAAGATAAAGAGATCTCAGTTTGAATCCTGTCTCCACAATTTCACTTTATTCCTCTGTGAAATAAAATAATAGAAATAATAAACCCACCTCCTAGGACTATTATAAGACTTCAACAGTATGACATCATGAAAACACCTGGCATTGTACCTGACACATAATAAATGCTTAATAGTTCCCACTGCCCTTCTCTCTCTACTGTCTTGCTTTCTTTTTAAAGCTTCTATTAATTTCATTACCGTTTTGGAAATACTAAACATTGCTGCTAAAATCTCACCTGAGGGGGTTATTTTTTATCCTTAGAAGGTATTTTACCCTTTGGGGCTCACTGGATCACAAAGTAGACTCATTAGTACAACAACACAGGCAATACTGTTGTCTCAGGGTGAGGATGACATGGGACCGGGATTTAGCTCAGTGGCTCCGCCGCCTGCTTCACAAGCGCAAGGACCCAAGTTCCCTGGTACCAAAAAAACCCCTCAAAGTCAGGGTGGTGATGACACCCTACAGAAAAATCAGGTTTTAGAGCTATTCTATTGAAGTAGAAAAATAGACCTAAATCTTTTCCTGAACATTTCTATAATCTGTGACCAAATCTGTACTTCCTCATCCACTGCAGCCCAAGCTTGATTAGGCCAAATGAGTCTTTGATATCAGCGCTACCTACATCAAGAGGTTTCATTAAAATCAGTTTTCTCTAGGCGTGACCCTATGGGGGAAACCTGATTCCTGCTCAAAGCTATTTTACCCTAAAATTTTTCCTTGTCTTATGGACATAGGTCCATGATACTGATGTCCTCACATTTCTTCTCGGTCATCTTCCCAGGCAGCTCCAGTTTCCCCAGTGGATCACATCAAGGGATAACTTTGGTTTGTGGGGAATAGACAGCAAAGTCAGCAAGTAGTTCTTGACTTCACAGACAAGGAGGACCTTCCTCCGCATCTTCCCCATCACCACTTCCTTCCACTGCCTCTGAGCAGTCTCCTGTCATCTTGCTTCTCAGTTTTCAGTAGTATTCTGACTGCCTTCTAATTCCCCCTTCAAACTTTCCTCCATTTAGCTGCCCTTGTGAGCTTTCTAAATATACAGTGGTCATCTTATTCCTCTGCTTAAAACTGCCCACTGGCTTCTCGGGATCAAGGCCAGACTCATTCACAGGACCCTCAAACTGTTCAGTCTTCTCTGAAGTTCCTGGAAGAGGACACTCAGTTCTTGACCACAGATTTCCACTTCTAAGTATAATAAGTTTCTCAGTGACTCATCCTAAAGGTGATAAAACAGAATGCAGAAACTGTAACTACCCTGCCTTAAGTTTCTGGGTGTGGAAACAAAAGAATACTTCTGGATAATCTAAGGCAAAGTTGAGATTCCCATTCCTCGGGGCTAGAAATAGTGAGTCTTCTGAGAAAAGGCCTAGAGCATGGGGCTGGAAGGTTGTGGAGATTCTGCAGACCTGTTAGGTGTAGGATGCTGTCCAATGACTTGAGCGTGTCTTGAATAGTAACACCTGCATTCTTGGCTCTTGTATCAACTCTCCGGGCTTCTGTAATCACCTGCAGAAAAATAAGAATAAACCTGTCTCAAAAGGCTATTTTCCTTATTGGCAACTGTGAAGGGCTCTCCCATGGAAAGGAGCAGTCACTCACCATCTGCATTGTGTCCATGTCTGTGTCAAACTCCAGCTCCTTCCTGGCCAGTTCTCCTTCCACCTCCCTCATCTCACTCTTTAGAGTGGCCAGTCCCTTTTCCATGGCCAAGGCCCCATCTGCTGTCACATTGGCTTCCAAGTTCAGACTCCCTATCTCCTGGGAGAAGAAAAGGAGCCAAGGACGGAAGAAGAGAGGGAGGTGAGACTCAAAAATATCCAAGAGACAATTGTAGAAAAATACAGCTGCAGCCTGGCCCTGATGGGCTAAGTTAAATGAACAATAAGAGAGTCAAACTGAGGACACACCCCTCCCAAGATCTGCCTCAAACAAGTTAATACAGGGATATGTCTCTAGGAGTAAGAGGGCCGGCACCGAGACACCACTTTTCCTCTCAGTTCTGTGTTAACCAAATGTTGAACATAGGAACCATTTGGGAAAACCCAGAGGACAAGAAACTGGCATCGCTCTGTCATGTTCTTTTGTTGCCATGGTCTTTTGAATGACTAATAGGATCTTCACGACAGTCAAGTATGGAGTGCAGAGAATGAATGGGCAATACTGTTGAGTTTTTGTTTTTATAAGGACAAAGCTTAGCCATATCTTTATTAAGAAATTATCATCAAGCATCAAACTGACAGTGTCTTTATTCCAGAAGTTATATAAAGAGAGGTATAGGAAATTAGTCTCTTTCCTCAAGGGACTGAAAATTAAAAATTACTTTTATTGGTTACCAAGTGGTCTAAAAGTGAGGTCAAAGTGTTCAAATACCAAGAATTCCCTTTCAGCTTTCCACAGTTGCATAAGTTCTCTAGAAGCCATGCCTAATTAAGAGCTAAGAAGTTCTTCTCCAGCAGAGAAGCATTCCTTCCACTGTAGCATTTAACATGAGTTGTAAGTACAGTTTGGCTGTCTGCTGTTGCCCTGAGTGCTCCTCAAAGAGAGGCAATAGTTCTTTCTTATCTCCATATCTCCAGCACCAAGCACAGTACAAGCACACCATAGAAGACAGAGAGAAGTGAGTAAGTGGAGCTCAGACATGGAACACAGACTGGGCCATAGGATCAAGTGCTCCACAATTTCATCATCTGGAATTGAAACAAGGATGATAGTTGTTCAGGTTGAATAGTATCCCTATGCAGAGATTTGTTGAAATCCTAATCCCAGTACTTCAGAATGTGATTTACTTGGACATTGGTTTGTTGAGGATATGATAAGCTCTGATGAGGTCATACTCTGATGAGCTCTAGTGAGTAGGTTGAGTCCTTTATCCAATGTGACTAATGTCCTTATAAGAGAAGACAGGGACCTCAAGAGAAAATGCCATGGTTTTATACAGGCAGAGCTTAGAGTGATAGAGCTTCAAACCAAAGATGCCAAGGATTGAAGACCACCACCAGGAGCAAGGAAGAGGCAAGAAAGGACTCTTCCATGGAACCTTCCAAGGGAGCATAGCCCTTTGATTTTGGATTTCTAGTCTCTAGAACTGACAGAATAATTTCTGTTGTTTTGAGCCATCTGGTTTGTGGTATTTTGTTAAGCAGTCCTAGAAAATGAATACAATCTACACAAAAACAGTCTTGGATGGTTCTTCTCATGGTTATCCAAAAGATAGCTGAGAATGAGCACGCTAGCACATGGTCCCTCCAGCCTGTGAATCAGCCCAACAGAAGGGGTGGCCATATGAATCTGCCCCTACCATGGACCACAATAGGACTCTGAAACACAGGGGTCAAAATGAGCCCAATGTTCTCTCTTCTCCCACACTAATGCTTTGTTTGGCACTGTTTATGCCAGCCTGCATCTTCATTGTGCTTTACCTGTTCTATTTTGCCACTGATCTCCAGAGCCTCCCTTGCTGCATTCTTTGCCCGCTGGGCATCGGCAGCAGCACTCCCCAGAGACCCTTCGGCTTGCTCCATCTTATCACTGGCATCTGCAACCTTCTGACTGATGTAGGAGAGTCTCTTCATGGCCTCTTCAGCTTCTGCTTTTCTGTCTTCTACCTGTAGGTCAAACTCTGAAATGAAGGAAAGAAACAAACTGCCATGAAGAATGGCATAAAAGAATTAAAAACGAACTTACAAATGCATGAAAGGGATTGATGAAAAATTCCTAAAAGTATTATTACTGACTGAGGGTGAGAGAGTGTGGGAAGCTATGACTGCAATTACTCTCTTTATCTAAGAGAAAGCACTTGAAAAGAGGCTTTGGAGGGGCCACAGTTAGTCCTTTGTTTAGAGAAACTGACTCTCAGCCTACCCTTGATCCCCACTAATGCAAGAGCATAAAAATGGATAAAAGGCAAGTAGAATCTCTAAAGCCCAAAGCTTGAAGCCAGAGCTGCCAATGATAAGAGCCATGGGTTTGGGTAGAACGGATAAGAGGAACTTTTTAATGAAGAAAAACCTAAGACTTTAGGAATGTCTCTCTGCTGTTTGTTAGTAAAGAATCATAAAATTTTAACCAAATTTCTGCAAACCTTGACCTAAACCTCCTTTAATCTAGATACCATGACAAAGGTTACTGTGTCATCACCACAGTAACCAGGTTACAAAAGAAAAGGAATAATACCTTTACAGTAGTGATATGTTGTATCCCTATGAGGGGATCTTTGAGAGCTCTTAGTTTAACCTTTTCCCCTTAAAAAGCAAGATTGTATGGTCTATGGTGCAACCACTGTGGAAATCAGTGTGGAGATTCCTCAAAAAACTAAAACTAGAGCAGACGGATGAGGATTTCAGCCACGTGGAGCTGAGCTGTGCCCCCCCACCCCATCCCCGCCTCCACCCCTCCCAGCATCAAGCAAAGCCGCGGGGGCGCCTGAAGCACACACACACACACACCTCCCCTCTGGCCTCCTGGCTGTGTTGGTACCTGGTTCCACACTGCAGAGGCACAGGGGTCATAAAGGCTATTGTCCTGAGCTCCAGAAGATAGAGCAGAAGTGAACAACAGAAAGAGGGCCTCTCTCAGGCTCCTCGATGAAAACTGAAGTCCACTGGAAAAGTGAAGAGAATCTCTGCAATAAAGGCACACCAGACCACTGTACTGTGTAAGTTGGAGGGATCATCACCTCCCCTCGGAACCTGGACTATCTTAAGGGGAAAAGCAGCTGGAACCTGCAGTAGAACCTTGCAGAGTTCAACCCTGCAGGGCAGGGAGCTCAACTTGGGCCTTGCAGCCTTATATCAGCCTGAATTTCACCAGTCTGCTACTGGCTTGCTGAGACTAACTGACTTATACCTGCACACTGCTGTCCACGTTGTCTATTGTGACAGCAGAGACATACCCTGAAGGAAGCTCTTCAATTTTATTTTTTATTTGTTATTCTCAAAATTATTACTTTTTTATTTTT